TTCTACAGGTAAAGAGTCGATTTACACTACCTAAGTGTACCGAGGAGGAAGCTGAGATCTAATGGAGCGTGCCGTTCTGATACCGACACTTGTACACTCATCCATCTTCTCTCTCTCTTTAAACTCCCTCAATTTCCCATCTTTAAAACTCTTCTATCTTGCCAGTAATTCATCCAGATATTTTCAGAAATGTCTGTTGGTTTAAAGTTGCAAGGGAAATCATGGCCGTATGGTTTCCTAATTGTAAAGCTTGCTAACTAAGCTATGTTGTTGTTGAAATCAATTTGCCAAATTAATGTAAATGTGTGATGTTAAACTTTGATTCTGTTAATAAATGACCGCATTCATTTGATGGGTCAAAGAAAATTAATGTCTCACGTTACATTTAATTATTCAATGCACAATAGAACTCAGTCCAGAAAAATGAAAGAATCCGTTTAATTTATGAATATATCACATGTATATGTTCATCTACAACTCCGTCTCACAGGAGACTCTGCCAGACGTTCCCAGCAAACCCTCACAATACATTTGGGTCTGCCAGGTCTGACCGGCATCCTCCCCCACCATCGGAGCCAACTCACCACCAGGTAGTGATCAGTTGACAGCTCCGCCCCTCTCTTCACACGAGTGTCCAAGACATGTGGCCGCAGATCAGATGAAACGATGACAAAGTCGATCATCGAACTGCGGCCTAGGGTGTCCTGGTGCCAAGAGCACATATGGACACCCTTATGCTTGAACAAGGTGTTCGTTATTGACAATCAATGACGAGCACAGAAGTCCAACAACAGAACACCACTCGGGTTCAGATCAGGGGGGCCGTTCCTCCCAACCACACCCCTCTAGGTCTCACTGTCATTGCCCACATGAGCATTGAAGTCCCCCAGCAGAACAAGGGAGTCCCCAGAAGGTGCACTTTCCAGTACCCCCTCCAAGGACTCCAGAAAGGGTGGATAATCTGAACTGCCGTTTGGTGCATAAGCACAAACGACAGTCAGAACCCGTCCCCCCACACGTAGGCGGAGGGAGGCCACCCTCTCATTCACTGGGGTGAACCCCGATACACAGGCACCAAGTTGGGGGGGCAATAAGTACGCCCACGCCTGCTCGGTGCCTCTCACCAGGGGCAACTCCAGAGTGGAAGAGTGTCCAGCCCCTCTCAAGGAAACTGGTTCCAGAGCCCGAGCCATGCGTAGAGGTGAGTCCGACTATTTCTAGCCGGAACCTCTCAGCCTCACACACCAGCTCAGGCTCCTTCCCCACCAGTGAGGTGACATTCCACGTCCCAATAGCCAGCTTCTGTAGCCGAGGATCAGACCGCCAGGGTCCCCGCCCTCGGCCACCACCCATCCCACATTGCACTCGACCCCTTTGGCCCCTCCCACAGGTGTTGAGCCCATGGGAAGGGGGACCCACGTCTCCTCTTCGGGCTGTGCCCGGCCGAGCTCCATGGGTAAAAGCCCGGCCACCAGACGCTCGCCCGCGTGCCCCACCTCCAGGCCTGGCTCCAGAGTGTGGCCCTGGTGACCCACGTCCGGGCAAGGCAACACTAGGTCCATTTCTTTGTGTCATCATCGGGGTCTTTGGGCTGCATTTTGTCTGGTCCCTCACCTAGGACCTGTCTGCCATGGGTGACCCTACTAGGGGCATAAAGCCCCTGACAGCATAGCTCCTAGGATCATTGGGACACTCAAACCCCTCCACCACGGTAAGGTGGCAGCCCAGGGAGGGGAATTGGAAATCCCCTCCCAGTCCATATGTACAAGCAAGTTTTGAGCATGATAACTTGAAAAATAATTGAGGTACCAACTTCTATTTTGGTGTGTGGCTGCATCTAGGCATAGAAAAATACTTAAGCAAACTACAAACATTCACTATTCAAATCCTTTAGCCATGGGGATATCAGCGTAATCGCTTGTTTAATTTATTTTGACGTAAGGTATACCGTAACACTCGGGCTTTAGAACACAAATGTCTCTAAGCCACACTTATTAAATATAAGATAAATCATAATTTTGTACATAAATAAGATGCTCCGGTTATTTAGCCGCAGGAATCCACCGTTCACGGTATTTGAAACTGTGAGTAAGAGGCCTTGTACATCTGATTACCTGAGGGCATTCTCTCTGTGTCACAAACACCTGCCCCATGAGGGGTGGGGTGCTGGTAGCCACGAGCACCCAGCTCTTTCAAAGGAAAATGTTAGTCAGTGGCAGGAAGCTACTGACAGATGCCAGGAAGTCTTTCAGAATAACATATAAAAATATACATTTTGAAAATTATGAAACAAATACAGATTCCAAAAAAGTTGGGACACTAAACAAATTGTGAATAAAAAACTGAATGCAATGATGTGGAGTTGCCAACATCTAATATTTTATTCAGAATAGAACACAAATCACAGATCAAAAGTTTAAACTGAGAGAATGTATCATTTTAAGGGAAAAATCTGTTGTTTCCAAATTTCATGGCATCAACAAATCCCAAAAAAGTTGGGACAAGTCCATTTTTACCACTGTGTGGCATCCCCCCTTCTTCTTACAACACTCAACAGACGTCTGGGGACAGAGGAGACCAGTTTCTCAAGTTTAGAAATAGGAATGCTCTCCCATTCATGTCTAATACAGGCCTCTAACTGTTCAATCGTCTTGGACCTTCTTTGTCGCACCTTCCTCTTTATGATGCGCCAAATGTTCTCAATAGCTGAAAGATCTGGACTGCAGGCTGGCCATTTCAGTACCCGGATCCTTCTCCTACGTAGCCATGATGTTGTGATTGCTGCAGGATGTGGTCTGGCATTATCGTGTTGAAAAATGCAGGGTCTTCCCTGAAAGAGACGATGTCTAGATGGGAGCATATGTTGTTCTAGAACCTGAACATAGTTCTCTGCATTAATGGTGCCTTTCCAGACATGCAAGCTGCCCAAGCCACAAGCGCTCATGCAACCTCATACCATCAGTGATGCAGGCTTCTGAACGGAGCGTTGATAACAACTTGGGCTATCCTTGTCCTCTCTAGTCCGGATGACATGGCGTCCCAGTGTTCCACAAAGAACTTCAAATCGTGACTCATCTGACCACAGAACAGTCTTCCATTTTGCCACACTCCATTTTAAATGACCCCTGGCCCAGTGCAAACGTCTGAGCTTGTGGAGCTTGCTTAGAAATGGCTTCCTCTTTGCACTGTAGAGTTTCAGCTGGTAACGGCGGATGGCACGGTGGATTGTGTTCACTGACAATGCTTTCTGGAAGTATTCCTGAGCCCATTCTGTTATTTCCTTGACAGTGGCATTCCTGTTTGAGGTGCAGTGACGTTTAAGGGCCCGGAGATCACGAGCATCCAGTAGAGTTTTACGGCCTTGACACTTACGCACAACGATTGTTCCAGATTCTCTGAATCTTTTGATGATGTTATGCACGGTTGATGATGATAACTTAAAAGTCTTTGCTATTTTACGCTGGGTAACACCATTCTGGTATTGATGCACTATCTTTCTGCGCAACAATGGTGGAATTGGTGATCCTCCTACCATCTTGGCTTCTGAGACACTGACACTCTGAGAAGCTCTTTTTATACCCAATCATGTTGTCAATTGACCTAATTAGTGTTAATTGGTCTTCCAGCTGTTTGTTATATGCACAATTTCCTTTTTCCAGCCACTTATTGCTACCTGTCCCAACTTTTTTGGGATTTGTTGACACTGTGAAATTTTGAGTCAACATATTTTTCCTTTAAAATGTTACATTTACTCAGATTAAACTTTTGATCTGTCATCTATGTTATATTACGAATAAAATATTGACAATTGCCATCTCCACATCATTGCATTCAGTTTTTATTCACAATTTGTTTAGTGTCCCAACTTTTTTGGAGTCCGGTTTGTACATAAAAAAAGACGCTTCTGCATGTAAACTGTGGGGTACAAAGTGTGAGACAAAAGTACCAGCTTTTATAACAGCAATTACGGAAATTTATTATCCAGTCTGAATTCATTCGTTTAAGCACTCCACTGCATCACTCCCTGCTGAGATCTGTGTTCCTCCACCAAAACATCTTTGCTAATGTTAGCATAATGTTATAGTTACATAATGTAAATGTTACATAAGGTGGTATCTGAGCTGCGACTAATGGGAGACTAGTTGGTGAAAGAATTCATGAAAAGTTGAGAGAAATTTCATGAATTTTCAGTTATGAGGCAGGTCCTTTAGTGTATTCTTTATAGGATTTAATTTTTCTTTGTTTTTTTGTTTGTTTGTTTGGTTGTTTGTTTTTTTGCATTCAGATTTAGCTTTATATGCTAACTGTGCAAGTATATTCAAATGCTGCTGTATAAGGGAAGGGAAAGGAAGTCTGAGATTGTCATCATTATTTGTTCCCATACAATGGCAAATTAGTTTGCTGTTTTTAACCCATCACACCCGAGATACACCCAGGTGGAGCAGTGGGCAGCTATGTAAGCACCCGGGGAGCAATTAGAGATTAGATGTCTTGCTCAAAGACACCACAACATGTCTGGGAGTTGAGCCGCGACTTTCTGGTCCCAAGTCGGCTGCCCTGCCTCTACCCCATCTCAGCTAATAAAAGATAGTCTAATATAATAAGTGTTGGCTTAAAATTCTCGATGATGCCCTATTTCATTAATGCACAATCCTTCAGCTCCATGTTGAGATGGGTTTTACAGTCAGGAACTTTCCATAGAGCAAATTGTTTTGTGCTTGAGAGTCCAAGACAATAATCCAAACACTAACTTATGAGGTCAATGTCAAAGTTAAAATAAGGTCTTTGTTTTACATTTTTGTTTTACATAAATTCTTGCTATTGCTATATTTTGCCGTATATTAATTTTCCTGGGCGTATAATGTGCCATATGTGCTACTCTTGTGTGGTATCAACAGGCAGGATGAGAATAATGGACTGAAATCTTTATTTCTGAAAGTTTCTTCCTTTTTTTCCCCTAAAATATGCTCTCTGATAAACCACTTTTGTTTCTTTTTCAGGCCACCGGGCTACCCTAACATGTCACAGGGCATGATGGGAGCAGGCTCTCCATATGGCCCAGGCTTGAACAGCATGCACGGTGTGATGAATCAGGGGGTGCCAGGGCCTTATCCAATGGGTACCAACATGGCCAACAATACCCCCGGTGAGTGCAGCTCCATATACAGCCATTAAAAGGTGGTGCAGCTTGTTTAAATTTAAACTTTTTTTTATCTGTTTTTTTTTTTTTAACACCCAGGAATTGCGCCAAGTTCTGAATTCAGCATGGACAAAATTAACCCAACCCAAAAGATCAACAATAAAGTTGATGGGACACCTAAACCCGAAACGAAAAAGGTGAAAGTTTCAAGTCGATGATGATATTATTAGTTTCTCCTCAGGACTTTTTTCAATTTCAGTTTTCTTTCTATCATAACAGAAGTCGAACTCTTCCACAATCACGAATGAGAAGATCACTCGGCTGTATGAGCTCGGTCCTGAGCCTGAGAGGAAGATATGGGTGGACAGATACCTGACCTTCGCTGAGGAGAAGGCAATGGGCATGAACAATCTTCCCGCTGTGGGCCGTAAGCCTCTCGATCTCTTCAGGCTATACATTTCTGTCAAAGAGATCGGCGGCCTCACCCAGGTATGCCAGCAGGTTCACCTGTCTGGTGTGAACATCTCTACCTGAAAGAGGCATCTTGTAATCCTCACGTTTTTTTTTTTGTTGTTTTTTTGTTTCCTCTCATTTCTCAGGTGAACAAGAACAAGAAGTGGAGGGAGCTGGCCACCAACCTGAATGTGGGCACATCGAGCAGTGCTGCCAGCTCTCTTAAGAAGCAGTACATTCAGTGTTTGTATGCCTTTGAGTGCAAGATCGAGCGCGGTGAAGACCCACCCCCAGACTTCTTCAACACGGACACAAAAAAAAACCAGACAAAGGTCCAGCCTCCCAGTCCAGGTGAGAGCTGATTGCTTGTTAGCTGCCATATGTTCTACCCCTTTTCTCTGGTGTTGTGAATTCTGTTCATTAGATGTCCTACCTAACCATCTTTGTATAAACTGATGGGTTTTATAGCAAACTAACAATTGCATTGTTTAAGGTGGCCATGAGCAATTGTTTGAATTGAAGCGCTTGTGAACACTGGTGATGGAGCTGTAATCCTGAAGTACTCAACACATCCTGGGAGGTTCAAAAACCACTGTGGTTGAGGGATGACTCCCTGACATCTGCATGAGTCACAAGGACCTCCCCCTTGTTTTGTTTTTTTTAGGGGGAGAATTAGAAATACCCTTCATGTCTCTGTCCATCTGTGCATGTTATGAGCATCATACGACAAAAAAATTAGAGAGGTACCAACTTCCATTTTGGTGTGTGGCTGCATCTGGGTGTAAGAAAGGTTTCTAGCAAAAATTGGATTTCCATGTTAAAGCCCAAGTTGGATACCACCATCCATCCATCCATTATCTTCCACTTGTTCCAAAGTCGGGTCGCAGGTGCAGCAGCTTGAGCAGAGAGGCCCAGACATCTCGTTCCACAGCCACCTCTTCCAGCTCTTATGGGAGGGTTCCAAGGTGGTCCCAGGCCAACCAAGAGACATAGTCTCTCCAGCGTATCCTGGGTCTTCCCCTGGGTCTCCTCCCAGTCGGACATGCCCAAAGCACCTCCCTAGGAAGGTGGCCAGGGAGCATCCTTACCAGATGCCCAAACCACCTCAACTGGCTCCTCTCCATGTGGAGGAGCAGCTGCTCTACTCCGAGTCTCTCCCGGATAACTGGACTTGTCACCTTATCTCTAAGGGAGAGTCCAGCTACCCTGCGGAGGAAACTCATTTCAATTGCCTGTATGCACAATCTCATTCTTTTGGTCACTAACCAGAGCTCGTGACCATAGGTGAGGGTAGTAGGAATGTAGCCCGACTGGTAAACAGAGAGCTTTGCCTTACAGCTCAGCTCCCTCTTCACCACAACGGACCGATACAGAGTCTGCAATACTGCAAATGCTGCACCAATCCGCCTGTCAATCTCACGTTCCATTTGTCCCTCACTTGTGAGCAAGACTCGAAGATACTTGAACTCCTCCACTTGAGGCAGAACCTCGACCTGAAGAGAGCAATCCACCCTTTTCCGGGTGAGGACCATGGCCTCATATTTGGAGGTGCTGATTCTCATCCCAGCTGCTTCACACTCGGCTGCGAACCGCTCAGGTAAGAGCTGAAGATCATGGCACAATGACACCAAAGGACCACATCATCTGCAAAGAGCAGAGATGGAATCTTGAGGCCACCGAACCGGAATCCTTCCACCCCCTGGCTACACTGAGAAATTCTGTCCATAAAAGTTATGAACAGAATCAGTGACAATGGGCAGCCCTAGCAGAGTCCAACTCCCACCCTGAAGGGGTCCGACATACTACCGGCAATGCGGACCAATCTCTTGCACCGCTTGTATAGAGACTAGGGCTATCAATCGATAAAAAAAATTAATCAGATTAATCACACTCTGGGGCTGTGATTAATCTGATTAATCACTATGCTTAACGTTGTAAGCTTGAAATGTAAGTATGCAGGTTTTCATAAAATGCTGAAGAAAACGTTTTATTGTGTCAAACCAAACAGTTTTCCAGGTTCTCATACTTAGCAAGGTTTTACAGAAGTCATTTTGTTTAAAATAATTAATTTATAAATGTTAACTCAAGTGTCTCATTAAGTCAAGTCAGATTTATTTATAGAGCACATTTAAAACAGAAACTTAACAAAAATATCACAACATCAAATAAAAAGTAGCAATATATATTTACAGCACATGGAATAAAAATATAAAACCAAAAACATAATTAGAAACAATGAAATACTAAATCAGATCACGTTGTGTCAAAAGTCAAGGAAATAATAACAAAAAGCATAAACTCAGTCAGAAACAATGAAATACTAAATCAGATCCGATGACCTTGTGTTAAATAGGAATAATAACAAAAGCATAAACAGAATCAGCATCAATGAAAAACTAGATCTAAATCCGATCACCCTGTGTTAAATGTCAGTGAGTCCAGATGTGTTTTTAGGAGAGATTTAAAAATAGAGACTGAGGTGGCCTGTCAAATGTTGATGGGCAGATTGTTCCAAAGTTTAGGGCCCACGACTGAAAATGCTCGATCTCTTCTGAGCTTCAGCTGGTTTTTGGTACGGCCAAAAGCAGCTGGTCTGATGATCTCAAAGCCCGAGAAGGAGTATAAGGATGAAGAAGGTCGGAGAGGTATGATGGTGCAAGGCCGTTAATGCACTTGAATGTCAGCAGGAGAATTTTAAAATCAACTCTGACACGTACAGGAAGCCAGTGAAGAGAGGACAGAACTGGAGTAATGTGCTCAAACCTGCGAGTTCCTGTTAGTAGCCGAGCTGCAGCATTTTGTACGAGCTGGAGATGAGAAAGTGAAGCCTGACTAACCCCAACATAAAGTGAGTTACAGTAGTCCAGCCGGGTTGTAATAAATGCATGGACTAGTTTTTCAAGGTCCGATCTGGACAGAATGGACTTAAGCTTTGCTATTTGCCTTAGCTGAAAGAAGCTTTTTTGTAGAACAGAGTTGATCTGTTTATTAAACTTAAAGTCCGTGTCTAACACTACCCCGAGATTGGTAACTGACTGCTTTAGATGAGGCTGAAGGGAGTGCAGGTTTACAGGATCAGTGACAGTGGTAGAGCTTGGGTTAAACACAATGACCTCAGTCTTCTGATCATTAAAACTCTAGAAGTTTGCAGCCATCCAAGTCTTGATGTCATCAAGTGTCATCTATGACAGTGGTCCCCAACCTTTATTGCGCCACGGACCGGTTTAATATCCGACTATATTTTCACGGACCTGGGGTGGGGGGTTGGTTGGAGTCTGAGGGTCCTACCCCAGAGAATTTTGGATAGAGTAGATGCCATTTCCTGCATTCTGGTGTATTTTCCTGCATTCTGGTGTTTATTACAGTAGATTAACATGAAACTAAAGATGTAGACTCATTATTGAAATGACTGCAAAGCATTCGTAATGCAAAACCACTGCAGCTCTGCAGGTAAGGGGCGTTCACTTCAGAACAAATTGAGGTCGCTAATTTGTCAGTTGCTTAATTGTCAGTTATAAACATGAACATTAAAAGAAACAAACATTTTAATTAAAGCTGCAAGCAGCATTGGAGGCCCTCGCAGCAAAGCGCCACTCTGGACTTCCGGCGACAACGGGAGCTTCAGTTAGTCCACCCAGTTGACATCGCGAATGCTCTCGTGCCAATCCCGCACGCGTTCACCACGAGGCGCATTTCCCAAACCTTCGATATCGCTTTCCATCCATGTCATTACTTGTCCAGCTTCAGGTCTTACAAGTATATGCAAAATCTGACCTTCTAGACAGGAGTTATGGTGACTTCCTGTTTTGTTGCGAATGTTTGACAAGCACTTCCTTGATGCTTTTCAACATGTCATGTGTGGTAATCAACAGTTAGCGAACAAAGTTTCAGTGTAATATCTTACACAGTGCGAAGCTGGAAGTGTCATCCAATAATCTAGTTTTTTCTCTGAGTGGTGGGGCTTAAGTGATGTCATGAATCAACAATACCAATGTGTCCAAAAAAAGTTCAATCTGGTCCTCTGGACATTCAACAAAACAAAACAAAAAAAATGTAGATACGTTTCGTCTGTCATCCGACAGACTTCCTCAGTCTGAGGTGCTGTATTCAGCACAGTCTCTTAAATAGCACCTTCTCAGAGTGGATCAACCAGTTTGCTGCTGACAAGCTGCTGGAGGAGGTAGAAAAGAGAGCCTTGACGTCCTTTTCAGGGACACCACCAAGTCTTTGGTTCAGGTATGTTGACGACACCTGGGTTAAAATAAAATCTCAGGAAGTCCAACATTTTACTGACCACATCAACTCTGTGGATAAATACATCAAGTTCACACGAGAAGATGTAAAAATGGCAGGTTGGCTTTCTTGGACTGTGAGGTCTCAGTCTCTGATAGAGGACATTTGCAAACTGAGGTGTACCACAAACCCACCCACACAGACCAGTATTTGCAGTTTGACTCCCATCACCCTTTGGAGCACAAGTTAGGAGTCATCAGGACTCTGTACCACAGAGCAGACAGCGTCCCCACTAGCTCAGGAGCCAGGCTGAAGGAGAAATCCCACACAAGATATCCACACAATGTGGATATCCTAACTGGGCCTTCCTGAAAGCAGAGAAAAAACCCAAACAGGACTCCAGTCAGCCATCCGGTGAAAAGGAGGAACCCAGACCCAGACCAGTGGTCATTCCGTATGTTGAGGGAGTATCAGAGAAACTGAGACGTTTATTTTCTAAACATAACGTCCCAGTGGCTTTTAAACCCCAAAATACGTTACGGCAATGACTGGTTCATCCCAAATATCCAGTCCCCCGGCACAAACAGAGTAATGTTGTGTATGCTGTTCAATGTCAGGAGGGCTGTGATCAGACATACATCGGGGAAACTAAACAGCCACTGGCCAAAAGGATGGCCCAGCACAGAAGATCAACATCATCAGGCCAGGACTCTGAGGTCTACACTCATCTCCAGGTCAGCGGTCACTCTTTCAGGGATGAAGATGTTCACATCCTGGACAGAGAGGAACGATGGTTTGAGAGAGGAGTAAAGGAGGCCATCTTTGTGAAAAGAAATCGTCCATCATTAAACAGGGGTGGAGGCCTCCAGGTTCAACTGTCCCCCTCTTACAATGCTGTGATTGCTAGTATCACTCAGCCCTCTGTGAACAGTAAACAGCCATCAGTGTGCTAATGATCCATTGTTAGGCTGATGGTCCTTCTTGAGCATGTGATCAGCTGGTTTTGGTTGTCAGCAGCAAACTGGTTGATCAACTCTGAGAAGGTGCTATTTAAGAGACTGAGCTGAATACAGCACCTCAGACTGGGGAAGTCTTAAAAAATATATATATATATTGAT